GACTTTGAGTGCGAGTTGAAGGCTTGGAACCCTGAATTGTTTTTCGAAAACCCTACCACTTACCGCTCCCTCCTGAGACCCCTTCCATGGGTCAGTACAACCTCCTGCCCATCTCCCCGGTCGCCGGTCTCACCTTGCTACACTTTTGCTTCAGGGCTGGGCAGGGACAGTGTCAGCTCAGGTACTGCTGAGTTTGAGAGAATGAGAAGAAATTTGAGGGAAGTCTTTCTTGGGGCTTCCTGAAGGAAGGAATTGGTATCCTTCCACCTTTCCTCTGCTGCTTTGCTTCTTTCATTTCTAGTCTTTTTTGCTATTTTACTTGCTGCCATAGGCAGCCTCTGAAGGAGTGTGGATAGATAAGCATCCCTCGGAAGGAATGTGGATGAACTATCTCCTTCTTCATCTGCAGTTCTGGAATGAGTAAGAGCTAAACTTTTTCTATGGTTGGCTCTGTAGTCCCACATGACTTCTTGCCTGTCTTTGCTAGAGTTGACTGCAGCTTCTGAATGTATCTGAGATGGAAAGCCAAAGGCCCCTGGCAGTCACACATCTGTTTCTTCCCGCTGTCCTTACCTGCTGGTTCATCGTTGTCCTTGATGCCCTCCTTCTTCCCATGCCACTACCCTGCCTTGCTCCGTTTAACAGTGTTGTCAAAACAGGGAGCAAGACACACTGGGCTGTTACGAATTGGTAGAGGCAGGGCACCTCCGTTATGGGAAGAGATCAGTCTGGAAGGGAGCAGGCAGGCTCGGAGGAATCAATAAAACATGGGTGAACGGGCAGCTAAGGAATGAAAATATAGGCAAGGGAAAAAGGGCCCTGACTGGGAAGATGGCGTAATGCTGAGTGCCCAGGAGAAGATAAATCTGGGGAGACACTGCTTACTGGAAGGAAAAGAACCACACGATTTTATTGCAACCTGGGATGCCACAAGTGCAGCTCTGCAGGAGGCATCAGAGGGCGAAGAAAAGAGGGACCATAGCTGCCACACAGCTGGAATGAAAACCAGGCACAACTGTAACAAAGACCCCTCACCAACAATTCACGTGGTATTTCTGCCTCACATGGCGACACCAATAAACGGGAGAAGACTCCAATGAAAAGGTAGACAGGCTTTTAATGGCATGATCAAGAATCCCCTTTTAATAACAAATCTAATGACAGCTGTGTCCGGTATGAACAAAAAATGGCATCATCATATATTTTTTTAAGACATGATCTGAGATTATGACAAATGCCAGGTGGATCTGTACACAGACAGGGCCTCTGTGATGCATGCCAGACTTTATGGCCAAGAAATTTGCCATGCAGTTGAACCCGATTTTGGTTCCTTGGTCGGAGTTGTACATTCGGTTTGCAGTGTGTAAACATTCTAGAGCTGCTTTCCTAAAGAATGCAAAGAAGATACGGAGAGAGATTTAGCCTTGGGACCCAGTCGCATTTCCAGGCAGGCAGTACCAAAGGAGTGAGAGTCCTGTCTCCAGGCCTAAAACCTTTGTCGGACCAAGTCAGAGACACAGGAAACAAATACCGGTGTGCCAGGTACAACGTCTGAGTGTAGAGCCACATGCTATTGTGTTAAAAGGAGATATACAGAACTATCTGCGTTTCCAGCTCTAATACCTTTCCGGAGAAGCAGCAGCCCAGGTCCCGCAACACGGCCGTGTCATTGACGCTGGCTTTCATACGTACTGTTACGCTCGGACTCCTCTCCTGACCCCCCCATGTCCTGCAGAGCTCTTCACACGCCAGTACATGAGCCACTGCCTTAGCACCCACAGCAGCTGTCAACCTAAGCACCGAGGAAACATCAACCCCTGCCTCCTTCAGTGACAACGCTTCAGATCTCTTTGCACTCAGGGCGGTGGCAATACAAGGCAACCTAGAGCAAGAGCATGTACCGGCAAGCCCTGTGTGCATACCAACAAAACAGTACCCTCACCAAAGTGGAGATCTTGCCTTTGGAGCCACCTCTGGTTTCAAAGCTAAGGATAGGAGGCGTTCTCACCTCGGTTCCTAGTGAGAACCCACCTGTGGCTTTGCTGTGGTAGCTCCCTTCCTCCTTCTAGCAGAGGGCACCAATGCATACCTTAAACCTGTTTTCAGAAAAATGTGTGTTCAGAAATAAGTGTGACCCTTGTAACCCAGAGCGCTAGCCAGCATGATGCAGCTGCTGCATACGTTGGGGGCCAAGTCTGCCTCACCCTTGGCAGAAATCCAGGAGGGACCAACCCGCAGGGCATAAACATCGACTTTCTGGAGAGAATTTGCTAGAGGAGGGAAATTAAGAACAAGGGGATTGGAGAGTTATGGTAAATTGCTTTTGGTGGCTAGACCTGTCTGGGCCAGTTTCATGGGATCCTGGCTGTGCCCTTCACCACAGCCTACAAGTGAGCTAATCCCTGGCCTGACAAAGATGCAACCACCAAAGCTCATGGAGATGCTGCCAACCTATCTTTACATCATCTGACTCTGCCGTTACTAACAGCATAATCCCAGCCCCACAAAGCTCAGCAACAGGCTGAAAAAGAGAAAAGAAAAAAAAAAAAACCCCACTCAGGGTGCTGCAGAGAACCTTGGGGGCCAGCAAATGGTCAGTCCACATGCCCCCTCCCCACACAATTAGTACAACACACACCACGAGGCAACAGGAGTTGAACAGAAACCCAAGCTCGCTCGCTCTCGTGCAGCTGTCGGCGTAGCTGGCAAACAGATGCAATCAAAGCTGGTTGCAAACTCTTGGCTGGTGCCCGTGTGCTTTGTAACACCAGCCCGTCACAGTTCGAACACGGACGCCTTTCAGTGAAGCCAGAAGAAACTCATTTGAAACAAAACTCACCACATCCACAAAGGGACTTTTACTGTGTTCACTGAAACAAGAGTAACTTAACCACAGTCGACTGATGTGTGGGGCAAGACCTTCGGTAGGCATCGATGTCTGTGCACACGAAACACTGATGGGATCATGCCAGGGATCAGGAAACTATACAGAGAGGAAAGAAATGTGCTAAGGGACCAACGAGCTGCTACCGGAGCTGGTCAGGCTATAAATAGATACTTAGCCACCTTCTTATAGAGGATCTACACTGAGAAAATACCTGTGTGTTGGAAAGGAGAAACATCATCAAAGATTTTCTTGCCCCTAACCCAACTTGCTTTGGATCAAAACGTTTCACTAGTACACAACCAGACTTGTGTCAGTAAAGGGCAACCACCTGAGCAAAGAGTCTTCCGACCCAGACACATGCCACGCGGAGATGTGTGCCAGTCGACTGGTTATTACAGCTCTGGAGGCAAGCACAATTGCCGCCAGTTATCCAAGTCATCTTGTTTTGGCCCCGGTTTCATGCTCTGGTGAGTGCGGCCTCACGGCCGACATGCACTTTGGTAGACGGGTGTACTGTTCCTCCATTCACATGCACCGCACAAGGCAGTCATTCCTGCACAGATCAGGCATCGCATAGCATCAGGGCACTTTGAAGGTAGCAGGCTCCTTTTCAACCTTTAGCCACTACATATAATGGGCACTACTTATATTATTTTATGTTATAATAATATATATATTATAATATTCTTTACCTATAAAGGCCAAGCAAAGCCTCCTGCCACTCACAAATTCCAAGCACAACTGACTCAGAAATGTCTGCTACCGAGACACCTTTTGCACCAAGACAAGCAGGAGTGTATGCGCTGCCAACCAGATGAATCAGTAAAGCATCTCCTGCCATATGTTCAGGTCCCTCCATGGCATAAGCCTGTCCAGCACCATTAATCTTTTTGCTCCCTCCACTCATATAACCTGTCCATCACACCGGCTTAGTGTTGAGAACTGTCTTCCTGGTTCACCACTTCGCTCATTCTCCCATATCCCAGTTTCTTTGCAAACATCTCCTGGCCAGGCAACCAGCCAGCATCCCATCTTCTCAGCTGGCAGATGAGAAAGCAGGCAGGATTTTCAAAGACCCCAGCAAAGCAAAACGCTTAGCAGAGCATTTACTAAATCTCATGATGTCAGACAGTCTCCAAGACGCTCTTGCTTCCAACACAGGCACAGGACCCCACAGTGCTGGACTCTGGGCATATCCCAGAAGAAATCCTATCCGTTCCCACTGCCCATGCAAATATACACACTCAAACACACGCACAGTGGCAGGCTGTTCCAGGACTGCTCTCAAAATACACAAAAGCACAACCATGCGCAGCTGGCCAGGACAGATCTTGCAGCAAACTCACCAAGTGGGAATCACATGGTATCAGGCTGTTCTCAGAAGTCCTCGCTAACATGGAAAAGGGTCTGCTGCTCGGGAGTCTGCATCTCCTACCCCCACCCCCACCCCAACACTTTTCTTTATTCTTCCTAACCATCTTCTCCACCTTCACTGCAAGAACAATGCCCCTCTCCAAAAGCAGTGTCTGAGCACCCCTGTGTGTCCTCAGGGCTTGAAAGAGCCATGCACCATGGGCTTGCTTCTCTTGCCTTTCTGGGATGTGACACCCCCCTCACGTCCTGCCATGCCAGAGAAAGACTGGCTCTTCTGCCCTACCCCTCAAGGACCTAACTTCTCCCTAATAAGGCAGACCTGCCGCTAAACACAGTCTCCCATGTTTGCCCCAGATATGACAGGTGCCCTCCCAGGCTCCTTGTGGGATGGGGCAGAAGACAGGACACGGGTGAGCTGCTGACCCTCTTGCAGGGCAGTTTTTATAGTGACATTAGCAGGAAATGTCACTGCCAGCTCTAGCTGCATGCCAGAAACCCCTACAGATAGCCACACAAGAGGACAAGGAGCTTCTGCAACTAGTGTGCACTGAGCACCCCCGCGATGAGTGTCCCCTGGGACTACGCTCACTCTTGAGCAACCAAAGGACAGAACCTTGAAAATCAGAGCGAGGGAAGAGATCCAGAGCAGCATCTGCATCGCAGAGCCTTCACCAAATCTCCCTCCTGACGCTTGTGCCATGGAGCAAGCCACCACTGGCCCTCCTGCAGTACTCCGGCTGCTAACAGAGGGCTTGAGAACATACTAGGTCATGCAACACAGTGTGACTGGCTTTGCTAGTAAAACATGACTATGTGGATCTTCTCTTGTTAGACAGCATGCTCCTGTGGGTAGCAAATTCTTTTTACCCACTTGACTGGAAAAGCCCAGCGCTGGGGATCCTGTAAAAATAATTTTGGTGAAGGAATGAAAGAGGCAATGTGAAACACTTCATCTGTGATGTTCAGCCAGGATCACAGCATCACCTGCCACCGGGAACAGGTCCAGAGCTCCAAATCTGTGGGACACGCAGGGACAGGCAGGCCTTGCAGGAATTTGAAACCTTTGAAACCTTTCAGTGACAGCATCCAGCAGCTCCTGCTGAGGGTATCTGGGGGGAAGGCATTGCTGCAGTGAGACAACTTTTACTGCCCTCAGAGCTGACGGTGCAGCCCTCTCATCCAAAATGACCAGGGGAAGTACCATGTCATTGAAACACTGTCCTGCTCCCCTCCATGTCAGGGCAGTCTCATGCAGCTGGCAAACAGGGCTGTGCTGGCGCAGGGCAGCTGGCAGCATGACCACATGGAAGGATGGCTGATGGCAGCTCTCCCAGATCGCGGTGGAACCAGCTGCAGCCTCAGCCCAGCCCTATCAAACAACAGGGCACCTGGGGAAAGGCTGGTATTTTCTGCCCTGGAAATCTTTCACTGGCTTTCTGAACTCTGTGGGACCTGAGCGGTGGCTTTCCACCATGTGACAACTTTGGCATGTGTCTTGCAGGCTCATGAATCTTAGACACTCGGATCTACCACATCACACCAGAGAGAAGGTACCTTGGTGTCACCAGCACCCTGCCTACTATCTGGTTGGGTTACGGCAGGAAGATGTCTTAGAAGCAGACACCAGGTTTCTCAGAAAACCAAATATCCAGGGAAACCTCTCACAAGAAATGTGAGGGCTCTTTCTTATTTGCTGCATAGCTAAAAAAATCTACCCAGTTCCTTAACCTGAACCTCTCCATCTGTTGTTCTCAGCTACTCAGTCTTCCCTGCTTCATCTGCTAGATTGAAGAACCGTGTTCTGGGCGCTTCCTTCCCCATACTGGTTCTTCTGGAGCACAGACAACTCTCTTCTAAACCTTCCCTTGAAGAAATACCTTGATTGTGCTTCATTAGCCTCCCATGATGAGGCAGGTTTGCCAATTGTGTAAACAGTCTTGTAGCTCTCTTCTCAAGCTATTTCAATATCTTTTTTTTGGCTTGTGCATACAAGACCTGGATGGAAGGCCTGGTAAAAGCTTCACTGACCATGTCTTACCAACTGAGCATTCTAAAATGAACAAATTAATAGGGCTGTTATTACTGTTCTTATTTGTGGGAAGAATCTGTGTTTGGTTTCTAATTTCTACACATGCAGGGCATATTTAGGGTGTACTTTGACCAACGCTTTGAACTCACATGGAGTCACGGTGTCCCCAGAAGAAGTGGACACACCATCTGTCCTCTTCTTCCCCCACTTCTGGCGCAAGCGTTTGTGTGATCCACACTGACGAACTGAACCAGACTGTGCTGAACCAGCCTGACAAACTGACCCTGCAAAACAAAGCGTTTGTTTTCACACTGAATCAGTGTTTCCAACCTCTTCACCAAATAGCTGGCACAATGCAAGGGAGGTGGGACAGTGCAGCAAAGCAGATGGAGCTTGGAGGGACTGCCTCTTTTGATGGAAACGTCAGCTCAATCCATCAAACGGCAACCCGAGCTCAGAGTTCCCAGTGCTTCTATGCCATGACGAGGGCTGGGATGTGTTTTTAGACTAGAAGCTGTGCTTCTTGCTCTACCAAGGGAAATAACTTCTATGCAAAACACTTTGACCTACATGAAACAAACTATTAGCATTGACAACACTGATACTGTCGTATAGAGAGAGGTAATTCCCATCATCTGTTTCTAGATATTTCCCTGTGCAGATGTCCAAGGAATACACTGTTCTCCTAGCCACACCACCACAGCTCTCATACTCCTCTCCAGAACAGTTCCTTTAGATGCGAACTGCTTCAGGATTCCTCAGACTCCATGGCCATGACTGTGGCTGTCTATATATATATGTTCATATGAATCAAGTATATTACTCTCTAGATTCCTCCATCATCATTTTCCTCCATCATCTGCAATTATTTATGGAAGCTGCTAGTTGCAGCTGCAGGGGTGGGTGGACAGAGAAGCCGTATTTTTATTCTGCCTCCTACAAAGCCTTTTTTAGGCACAACACTGCTGTGAAGCCCAGAGTATTTGGGTCTGGAGTGCTTTCCCTTGTGAGATACAGGGGAAATTTTGTGACTACTTCAAGAGCTCATCAGAGTCAGACAAGTATCTCTGTGTCAGTCCTCCTGCTTCACATTTTCAAGCCTTTCTTATTAGTCTGGCAGCTAAAGAGTTGGTGTTTAGTTCTAAGTGAGGCCTGAGCGTCTGCTCTGATAACGTCATTTGAAGAGCACAGCCCTTTCTCTTATGGTCACATCGTTAGTGCTCAAGCAGGGGGTGGAAGAGTTGAGCACTCAAAAAGAGAAAGACATAATAAACTCGACCTCCCCAACTCAGCCAGCTGTATGCTAGGTCAGAGATGAACAGGATACTCATGGAGAGCCAGCAAACTTCTCTTGGCAAAGCAGCAGCTTTTGAGCATACTACAGAATAATTACTTCCCCCCCTGCTGTGTAGGGGAACTTTCAGCCACAGTGCCAAAATTCACAAACACCGAGAGCGTGACAATAAAACAAGGAATTGAGGTGCAAGGGGCACCTGAGCTAAAGGCATCCAGTGACTATTCACATCTTCAGGCTGGAGCTGCGTCTGGTGGACTGCAGAACCACGGCACCAAACACACTCAAGTCTAGAGGGCCCACCCCCTGTTGGAAGATGAAGGCTCTACAGGTCACACTTCACTATTTGAGACAGAAGCAGCTGCAGAGCGCTCCTGTCCCCATCAGTAAGCCGGCGCTCTTGATTTTCCAGCAAGCTGTCAGCACAGCCCCTACTTCCATCTAAATACCACGCATCTGCTGAAACTGCAGCAGTGTCACCGAGCAGCAATGCCAGCTCCCTCCTCTGTGGGACATACTGGAGCAGGTAGGAGTTGAGAACATCCAGCAAGGCCTGTCTGTCTCCCTGGACCTGCTGGCAGGGACACCTCAGGAAGGGCGAGCAGAGTCGCCCTCCATCCCTCCCCTGCTCCTCTCCTCTCAGGTCACGTATACTCCTCTTGGCTAAGCTAGTGATGATCCCTTGCTCACGCAGATGGCAGGAGGTGAGCCAACACTCAGGTAAAACATGGCAGCCATAGTTGGCGTTTTACCAGCAAAGAGGGAAGAGGAAGCTGCCTGAAGGACAGGAGACTTCCTCCCAGCAGGCCTCACTCTCATCATCTCTGCTCCCATTTCCAAAGCCAGGGTCAGCGCGCGGTATTGGCAACTGGTATTGCTAACAGAGAGAGGGGAATGCCAAGGGAGGGAGGAGAGTCAGGCACTGGGCAGGCTGCCTGAGTCACTGCTTGGTGCTGTGCATTAGCAAGCGTCAGCCAGGGACAGGATGTTTCCCTTGAAGAAGGCTCCGTGGCTCAGAGGCTCTCAGGCCCGTGGGAGCTGATCGCGACAGTGTGGGGTGAGAGTGAGTGAAGCATTGAAGTACAGCTACTGCTATGCACTTGTGGTTCCCGCATGGAAGGCTGTGCTGCAGCATCTCAAGTGTATACTATATGCAGAAGTTACCCAGTCTATTGGGCTGGCAGAAGAAGATCATTATCTGGCAGCTGCCTTACTTGCCAGGGACACCTGCTTTCCTTTGGTTGCTGGACTCTGAGTCTGGGTTTTCCCTCTTTGTCCTTTTTTGGCCACACCGGGTGAGGGCAGGGAGTCTCCTGTCGGCCCCAGGGCCTGAGTTTGGGGCTGAGGTCGGGGGGAAGGTGGAACTCGCTGAATTGCAGTCCCTGGCTTACGTTGTCGACAGGGAGAAGGGCTTTCCCTCCTAGACAGTAACTGGCTTCTAGGGGAAGCACTGGGGTTTCTTGGAGGAAGGACAGGACTTCGAGGGGGTGCACAACTAGACCTCCGTGAGCTGCTTCGTGGAGGAAGAGCAGTGGAACTCGGTGAAGGAGGAAGCCGGCTTTGTATCTGTGTTGTTCGGGAGTCACTGGGG